GAGGAAGTGGCCGGGGAGAGGGAAGTCTGGGTTTCCCTGCTGAGACTGCTGCCCCCGCGACCCGACCTCGGATAAGCGGAAGTAAATGGATGGATGGGGATGGATGGATGGATGGATGGATGAACCCAATACTGATAACTTAAATCAGAACTTCCATTTTTTTCATGTTCTTGCGCTTGGCCTGGTAACTAAAGTGAGCTTTGTAGTGAATACAGAGATGTTTTTGACTGCTTCCTGTTCATCAGAAACAAGAAAATGAGTTTTAGGTAGAGAATGATGTAACAGCTTCACATGGTATTGCTCATTTCCTCATTTGTTTTGTGGTGTGAACAACTAGTGGTCAGGTGGTGGAAGGTAGCCAAGAGGTATGGCAAGTAGTGGGCAATCATCTGTTTTGTCATGGTGATTGATCTGACTGATTTGTGAAATGATTTTTGACAGATTTGTGAAATACCACAGCCCAAACATATCTAATAGGTTAGATCCGTATCTTTGGATTGCCCATGGCATGTGTTTTTGTTTCTCTGTGTGCCCTGTGATAGACTCCCATCCCAGCTAGGGCATTCCATACATGGAGGTATATAACAAATATTAAAAAATGGTCAGGCATTTACCTTTCCTCCTATCATGTCACAGCAGGAAAAAAGATCAGTTTTAAATTTCCTGTATTGCCATTAATCCTTCTGTCTTTTGCAGTATTACAGCATAATTCTGACGACATGAAGATGTGTGCCCAGTTTCAGCAGGCCTGTTCCCCAAATGGCTACTGTGCTGATTACTCCTCCGGTTCCTGTTGTCATTGTCACCCTGGCTTCTATGGCAATGGATGGCAATGTCTGTTAGAGGGTGAGTTCCAGATTATGATTCTAGTCCTATATTCTTAAGGGCAATTTCTGAGTGTAAGAAAACCTTTTATCAAGGGGTAAGCAGGTGGAGTTTGGACCTGCATGTGTTGTATTTGTGGAACCTGTCTCATTTTGCATTAATTGTAAGATAGCCACACTCCCTTTACCTTATTCTTCTCACATTGCTAACATCAGCATTTTGTTTTCAGCTTTTGTCTTAAGCATCCTTAAACATTTCCAACAAATTATGTTGTCTGATAACTCATCTTTAACCCTTTTTCTTAAATCCAGACAGGTTTATGTTTGGCTGAAGATGAAGGATGCCTTTAACCCAAAATGTGGTGACCTGTAATTGTATTCCCCATGCTGTACAAATGTTTTGGGAGCTCCAGACATGTTGCTTGTTAAGACAATAACCTGGATCTTTTTCAAACTTCACATAGGCATTGTATGGGTGATAAACTGAAACGGTATTAAATTTTGAGACAGATCTCTCCAAAACTGAAATGATGCTGCTTAGTGGTAGCAAATAGAAGGGTGAAAGCAAATGACATTTGGCCTTGTGAATGTAATCAGCCAAAGAGTATTTGCTGGATCATATTACCGCTTCACAAAAATATTATATGGATGAAGATGTACAATTGGTTTCATTTTCAGACAAATTGCCCCACAAAATGAAGCAACAGTGCTGTATGGCAGCAAAAGGAGGAAATGGCAGCTGTTGAAGACACTTTGTCTTGTGAACACAGTAACTTTAAAAATATTTTATGGATAGTTTCAGACAGTTGATCTTGTTAGCGGGAAAACTCAAAAAATGTTTGACAAATCTTTTGCAACCTTTACAGGCATATTGTAAGGTTGAAGATCTGGACATGTTCAAATTCTGAGACAAATTACACCAAAAGTGAAGCAACAGCATTTAGTGACAGCAAAGCGAAGAATGAGAGGATTAAAGGCTTGTCCTTGTGAACAGGATCAGTCTCACTAAGTAGTTGCATGGTTTTTTCATTAAAGCACATTCGTCCATCGACTTAAGTCTGGGGATTAAGTGTGCTTAGGCTAGATATGTACTTTGGGCAGAGACACACCAAAATATGGGCAAGTTGCATGTAATGACCCATATACGCATTCTGCCACTGTTTAAGTACACTTAAGTGCATTTTTCACTACGTGCTCCGGAGGGCTGTATTAAGTCATGTACCTCTATACAGTCAAATGCAATATTGTGGTTTGCAGAAAGCACAGCATGAAACAAAACTTTCTAACATGTATCATACATTTAGATGCAAATGTTACAATCAAAAACACCTATGAGTAATTCATATAATTATATAAGAATTATATAATAGCATATATAAATACAAGCAGTTGGACAATGAAACGGAAACATTTGGTTTTAGACTACAATAATTTATTAGTATGGTGTAGGGCCATCTTCTGCGGCCAATACAGCATCAATTAATTTTGGGAATGACAGATACATGTCCTGCACAGAGGGATTTAGAGCCATTCCTCTTGCAGAACAGTGTCCAGGTCACTGCGTGATGCTGGTGGAGGAAAACGTTTCCTGATTTGCTCCTCCAAAACACCCCAAAGTGGCTCAGTAATATTCAGATCTGGTGACTGCGCAGGCCATGGAAGATGTTCAACTTCACTTTCATGTTCATCAAACCATTCTGTCTTGCTGTGTGTATTGGTGCATTATCATTCTTATACACAGCACCACATTCAGGGTGAATTGTTTGAAACACGGGGTGAACATAGTCCTCCTGAATGGTTCAGTGGTCCTTGACAGGGATGTGCCCATCTAGAACAAGTAATGGGCCTAAGAAATGCTATGATATTGCAGTCCACACCATCACTGATCCAGCCCCGTTTTGCACTCTGGGGACACAACACTCCGGATGGTAAGCCTCTTTGGGGCTTCTCCAAACCGTAACTCTCTCAGATTTTCATTTACATTTATGGCACTTGGCAAGTTGGCAGATGCCCTTAGCCAGAGCAACTTAAATAAGTGCTTTGAAGTCTCCATCAGTGAATACATTCTGATACTAGTTTCATAGAACCCGAGTTAAGAATAACATCCATCTGAAAACTCTGTTTGCAAGTAATACAGTTTTTTTTTTTAAATAAGAGTACATAAGAACACAAGAACATAAATTTACAAATGAGTGGAGGCCATTCAGCCCATCAAGCTCGTTTGGGGAGAACTTAACTAATAGCTCAGAGTTGTTAAAATCTTATCTAGCTCTGATTTAAAGGAACCCAAGGTTTTAGCTTCTGCTACACTAGCAGGAAGACTATTCCATACTCTAACTACATGCTGTGTAAAGAAGTGCTTCCT